AGAGTATAGGCGTTAGTAAGGAACCCTTTTTCTATCACATAGAAAAGAAAGTAGATCTTAAAAAGAATTCCTCTTAGAGTTATGAAGTCGCAAATAGAGCAGAAATCATGTGTCCAAAAATCGATTTTTCGCAAATAATTTGTGTGTATGTTAACGAATCTGAGTGGGAAGGGTATAAGTAGATTCTACTCATCAAGAGCTCTCGATTGAATGTGGCATGTGAGGGTCCTATGTTTTTCAAGCCCTGCGAGGGGGGGGGGGGTGATCAGCCTCAGTTCAGGGTTGATCACCCCCCGCCACCTTAATGCATTGGAGAGGCGCCGGCGGGTGATCACCCTGAACTGAGCCCGATCACCCCCTCTTCCCGCAACCAGGAAGCATCAAACCCCCACATGTTATATCTCATTCGAAAGCTCTTGAGGAGACGAATCCATATTTACTATTCCCGTTTTGATTTATTTACTTATATAAAAGTTATATTTAAAAAATTGATTTTTGATGGGTTTTTTGCAGCTTCATATCTCGACGACGGGGGCAATTCGTGCTTCAGTTTTTTCTGCATCTTACAGAGGGAGGTTTACTGAGTCTTACCTATACCCTAGCAGAGAGATCGGATATACTGAAGGAGAGTTACAGTAAGGAATAAAAGGCGCTTGAAAAACCCAGGTAAATTTGGAATTTAAGTCAGTCGCTCCCGTGGAGTCTCTTTGCGAGGGTATAGGTAATACTAAATGGACCTCCCTCTTGAAGATGCAAAAAAAATTAAATCATGAAATGCCCCCACCGTGGAGATATGGGGCTCCGACGTGGAGGGGGGGGGTTGGACCTCTGGAAACTCTCACCTGGCTTGCTTTTAAAGGCCAGATCCCAAATTTAGTTTAGAATTGGCTTTAGCCAATTCGTACAAGAGTTATACTGGAGAGTGATCTACTGCAAGTTACTCAAGTTAGAAAAACTGATCTTGCTCAATTATCGTCAATATCGTAGCTTCAACTTTACTGCCCTAGGAATTTCTCCTGACATCAGTTATACTAGTCTTATCACTGTGCTACACTGTGTATGTTTATTTTGCTTTAAGCGGACACAATTGAGCAACAATTTTTTTTTGTATTCCATAGATACCGACTTACGGATTTATTTGCAACAATAATTCCTAATCATCGCGGAGTCTCTTATTAACATTATCCACATTCGTAAGTTCCATGTAAAACTTCGTTCAGCACCTTCCAAGCCTCGAGTATCTGCCATTGTCCATTGCAATTTTCGGTCGAAATCACATTCACAATTTTACACGTTCCACCCACCTAAACATGCGTTTTCTAACCAAAAATGGTGTATGAAAATGAAATAATAATTTTGTGAATTGAAAACAAAGTACTTCCAAACATGTCACTAATTATATTTCATACAAATCCAATTTAGAAAATTAGACCATTTAAGCTGGATAATTTTTTAATTTTTACCATTTTTTCACCATTTTTTTCAATCTCCCCCCCCCTCCCGGTCGACGCCGGCACTTTTCAGACACCCTTCACTTTTGAGGGTCAAAATCAGCTGAGACACCCTTCACCTTGGAGGGACCCCGTTCACACCATCGCACTTATGCTCGAAAGTGTTCGGATGAACAGACTTAGACCCACAATGCTTATTAGGTGGTTTGCTTAAGCTTGCACACTTTTGTGTAGAGTATCTTGATTTTGTGACTCAAAATTTTCGCGTTACTACTTCGACTTTTCCTGCGAATGCACTGAGTCACTTTTAGTGTTTGGCTCTTCTCGACTTGCTGAGACATCGTTGAGCAGAGCCCGGCACGAGGTGGGCAAATGACAGGTTGGAAATCGTTTGGGTGAGAAAACAAATGGGATATCGTTTTTGCGGGGTCCGGGGCGAAGCCCGAAAAATAATTGGTAGTTCATGCTCTTTGCTTATCTTAATATGTTATGTACCCCAACAGGCGAACACTGAAGCTCGCGCGCGGCAAACCGCGCCATCGCTAATTGCCGCACGTGCGACGATGCTATTTGTGACAGCATACATGACCATGGAGTTCTCGATGTATGCGTAACGATATAGCACCAAATTTCGTAAGCGAACGAAGAGAGGCTAATGGAAAAAAGCATGAAAAATTGTGAAAAACTTGTTCGAATGGAAGGTGTAATAAGTGTTTTTTCCAAAAATTTAGCGTAATTGTTGAGTGAAGATGTGAATTTAAATGACTCGTTTGGAACGCACGGATGATGATATTAAACTACTTATGTAAACTATAAAGCTATCTTATGTATAAAGCTGAATATCTGTTTGTATGTCTGTATGTCTGTCTGTGTGTGCGTATGTTCCGAATAGAAAATTCCATTTCTGAACCGATCCGGACCAAACTTGGCACACATACAATACGGAGCGGGGCGGATGTCATAGGCTACTTTTCGTCATCGACCGATATCGATCTTATCGATTCTATCGATTTTTTGCATAGTTTGGTCTACGAGGCTGGGAGTTGGCACAGGGAGGTACAGGGCTCCTAAATTGCAGAGTCGTTTGCACCAGCGGTCGCGCGACCGCGTCGCGCCCGGGCATCAATGGCGCCGCCTCGATCGATGGCGCCGGCGCCGGCAAAATGCCCGGGCGCGACGCGGTCGCGCGACCGGTGGTGCAAACGACTATGCAATTTAGGAGCCCTGTAATCGAGCATGCTGATTACGAATACAATTTTAGTTTTTACAATCGTCCATTACTTTTATCAGTAAAGACTCCTGTCCTTCTGTGGATAATAGATTTATTAGCAGCGAAGTATGCCAATCGAATGAGATGCCTCTGGCGAGGTACAAAAGAACAAAAGTGAAACCTAAAGAAATGAAACAAACAAACACGTTGCACAACACGTCATGTTATCCAGTGGGTGCGGGAAGTTTCTCACCCGAGTCATATTCTCGCACCTAAATGGTGTGTCTGCCAGGCACATTCGGAGTCGCTATAATTACGAGCTCCTCAGGAAACCAAGACATCCCAAGCCCCGCCCCCTCCAGATGATGAAACCGGAATTTCAAAGAAACTTTAAAAATCAAAGTTCAGAAGTGAATTTGCTCCAATCAAGACCAAACTTCGAATTTAGGGGTTTTGGAGATTGCTTTTTTCAGTAGTAAGATTTGTTTGTTGCAAAGTCAACGTTCAGCACCGATAATGCTTAACTTAAATCGGAAACGGATTTGGAGGTTTTCGAAATTTCTCATTTTAAAACAAGACCGAAGTTCAGGTACTATCAAAGCTGCCTGAAAAGAAAGATAGAAAATAAAATTTGAGATTATCGATAGTAACGATAAGTGATTTTCATCTTTACGCTGCTATTCGTAAGGAAAATTTTGCCTCAAACTGTTCTTACAACCTTTTCTTACCGTAGGTTGAGGTCACTGCTCACGATACGTTGGCCGGATTTCGCACATCAGATTCGTCTGCCGTTGACGGAACATCTTTAATCAGCAATATATCATACAGTCAGTGAAGTTTTTGAATTGTCATTCTTTGGTTAATGGTTTCTTAGTTTTTACGCGAATTTCAGCACACAAACAAACTATTATAATATTTTGAAAATTTGAACTATCATTTCTTGAACACTTTTACAGTCTTTTGCCCAAACTTCAGCACACAAACTATTATTTTGATGACTTTCTGAACTCTTTCTGCATTTCTTGAACGGTATTCTCTAATGTTTCGCCCGAATTTCAGCACTTAAATGAACTATCAATTTTGAGAAGTTTTTGATTTAGTCTTTTGCCCTTTGAATTTGAAATTAGCACTGAAATAAATTATTTTTGAAAATCTTCAAGGTGTTCCTTGAATTAATTCCCACTGTTTTGTCTGAAATTGGTATTCAAATTAATTTTTGAACAAAAAAATGTTCGTGTTTCATCAGTTTCAGTCAATAGATTTTCGAGCAAGCAAACCTTCGTTGAAAATCGCTTGCTGTTTTACAAAATACAATTTGCAAAAGTGCAAAGTTTGGCTCCATAGGAAACGCAAAGCTCTTCACCACCTGCGCCATAGACTCCGCATCTATTCGCCCGCCCATCCTCCACAATTCTAACTCCTTGGCGCCGCAGACTTAGAAGTGCAGAGCTCATCGTGGGGAACCGTCGCTCATAACTTTTCCCAGAAGATTATTGAGCAGCTAACGAACACGGATTTAGTATCACTGCCCCAAACCCAACAGAATGACATGCATCACGTGTGGAAACTCCACTTCGACTGAGGGTCCTTCCCTTGTAAGTTCTGTCAGCTTCTGCCAGCTGCGAAGTTGACAGAACTTTGCATTATGACCAGCAGGCATTTCAGTCGGACTTCTCTGCTCAAGTGCTATCGTCACAAGAAGCGAAGCAGCTGAGCAGTTTCCAGTCCAAAACTTTACCTTCATCATAAGTTTAGCAATTCAGCTGAACCGCCTGGCAATTGGTTTCCCTTCGGAACGTCAACGTGATGATACCTAAGGACAGAAGGAACTCAAGCTCAACGCAATGTCCAACAAAAGTTTCGTTTTACAATTTCGGTAGATTGTTCGCAGTTAATTAATTTGAAATAAATGGTCTCTTCATTCTTCTATCTTGCTATCTACAAACGCTAGGGGTGAGAGGGAGGGGGTAGAGAACGGGGCTGAGGGTCGCGCTGAAATCCTACCCGGGAGAGGGGGTCGTATTCGGCGGTCGTATGCCACACCGTTTGCTCGACCCTGGTCTAGAGCTAATTTGGATGGGGTTCAGAGAATAATTGGGTTTGGAGCTCAATTAGGGCTAGTCACAGTATGCCGCGGCAGACTTCCGGAGCACAAAATGGGAGGGCTCCCAAGCACAATGGGAGGGCTCCGGAGCATGAGTGGCAAACCTTCGCTGGGCAGACCTCGGCACCCTCCCATTTTGCTCTCCGGAGGTATGGCATCGACTGTCTGAGTATCTATTTTTCAATATCATTTGACACTGATCGTGAGAAATTCTTGAGCTGGAAGTGCATCATATGGGATAATAGACAATTTATTTAACTTTTCCTCTAATGGAAAGTTTGAAAATTGCTCGAAACAAAGCAATTCAATTTCAAAGCAGTTTCCTGTGAATGTTACGAAAATCATCGTTATCCTCTCTTCATTCTCCTCGTATAATTTGGAAAATGAATGCTGAGAGTATAGCCAGAGATGTAGCTACCCCAGCTATGTACGAAACATATTAGCATCGCCTGAAAATGCCGTATATCAAAGCTGAGCTTAGGAGAGAGACCATAATCATTGTTTACCATGAACATTGTTCTCCAAAGCATTCTGCTGCCAGCAACGCTCAATTGATTCTCACTGAAATGAAACTATACTAAATGCTATACCACGTACTCTTTTTCGTGTGGATAATTATAAAGTGCCGACATCACTTTCAATAATAAAGATGGACTAGATATAAGAGCAAAATGAAGCTGTGCTTACTTCTACCAGAATAATGTTTTGCCTTAGCTCTACAGCTTTATATAGTGGAAGCTTTATTGATAAGGAACAGCATTGCATTCACAATACTAAGACAATGCTAATTGCATTACATAAGCTTATGCGTTAACCAAGCTCTTATGAAGTCTCCACACATATTAGCATGTCCCCCATTGTCACAAAATCTAACGCACTTCAAATAGCTAAAAATTTACGTTCATGCGCCCCTGGATTATGCATCTAAAAATAGTTTCATACTTAGCATGAACATTTGTTAAAAGCATCGCAGGATGCTTTTAACAAATGTTCACGCTAAGTATGAAACTATTTTTAGATGCATATTCTAGCAGCATGTTGAGCAACATTTCCCTTTAAGCCCTTTCTGGACTACGACTGACTTTGAGAGTTCACAGAAATTGGAGGTAATGAAAAAGATACTGGAGATGATACAAATGATAAACGGTGCTTGAATCTTACGCAAAAAGTCGCGCACGAAAGTGCTGTCTCATCTTCTTTTCACGCTGTTTTTCCGTGTATTTGACAGATCTCGCCTCTGTTAGTAATGTAGACGCGTCGCAGGGTGTGGCGGCTCGGTGGGCTCTAAGCACCTAGATCTAACCCACCTAAGCGCTCGCCCGCTCAATACATACGACGCAACCTACCCTGCTAACTTGCCCTAGCGCGCGTAGACAAGAGAATAAGTTTAAGCTTTTATCCTTATGACATCAAATGACATTAAAAGACTACACAAAAACTCACAACTAAATTACGAAGAAAATTACTAAGATGAAAACTAAACAATTACTAAACGATAACAAGCTCAACACGGGACGAGCTGCCCCATCCCGTGCTACCGATGTGCGCGACTATAAATACAAATAAGAGAAATGCTCCCGAGGCTTCACCTAAACAGATCCGCCACGCGTCGCCGGATACCACGCGCGACTCTTCTCCGCTCCCCAAGTTTACAAGATATCAAATCCCAAAGGTTTCAAACGTAGCTCGTCCAAAAGAATCCCAAATCACACTTGGATCCGATATAACTTTCTATCCGCTCGACCGCTAACGCAAAAGAACATCATAAGCGGGAGCTAACTGCCAGGCACGAGCACAATAGAAAACATACGAAAAGATTATCAATCGAAAACGAAAGCGAACAGACGCTGCAATGAGGCGCCGCCGCTATATATAGCCTTTTGGCTGGCAACGCGCCAAGGCGAGGAGAGGTCCAGCGGCGATTGCGGCGAACGTAAGAAAGTGCCGTTATCGCCGCCGTGTAGCGCGGCAGCAACCAGTGCTCCCGGCCTCCTACTTCTAGGAGCGCTCGCATCGCGGAGCCGCGACACTCCCCCAGAAGCAGTGGGCTTGGGCGTTCGAGAGTGGTTACGTGATAGCACCGGGGATCTGCGGTTAATGCCTTTAGCCGAAATTTTTGGATGATAGAATAAAAAAGAGTGTTGAAAAAGTATCCATCGGTAGCACAGTAAGAGCGCGACAAAAGTAAATGGATTGACACTAACGCGTCCCGTGTTCACCAACAAACATCATTCAAGCGCACAAGGCGCATCCGTCAAACAGCAACACAAAAAAAAACACAAAAGAACAAGGTCGAGTTATAATAACGTAGTAAGCTGCTGCTCGTACTAATGAGGAGCGATGCCAGGATGTTGTTGAGGCAGACGACAAACAAGATGGACCCAGTAGGCCAAACGTGCTACCAAGTTGGTGTAGTACTGTAACACATGAACGTTACGGGGCCAAAAGAAGATAGAGGGAACAATGCGTGCCGATCGGAGTCCGTCGTCAGTGGTATTATGCCATCGCAGTCACTAACCCTTCCACGTTCTAATACCTGCAGCTCTGAAAGAAAACACGGGCGCGCGCGAACGCGACTTGTTGGAACTCAAAAGCGCAAAGTGTAGATTTCCTCCCCGATGGTGTGGTGCTAAGCATAATGCCTAACAAAATGCAACTTTCGCCGCCGCTATAGCAAAAAAGCAGCTATGCAACGCAAAAAACACAAAATGGACGTCAGTCCAGCCTCCAGCGACCCAGATGGACCGTCGCAGGGCAAGCGGCCTGATATGCGTGCAACAAAACTGGCTGGCGTAAGGGTTGCGGATGGCGGTGACAAAAGTTAGGCGCGGCAAGTTCAAGTTGGGAGCCAAAACATGTAAACAAAGGAAAAAATGCAACTGAAAAATGATCAAAAATGGGATAATAAAACCAAAATTCGTACTTGCATCTTCCTTGCTAGGTAACGCAACATGATTGGCCAAGCGTCAGTCCAGATGGAACGGGACTCAAACAGTTTCGTGCGACGTTGCAACATATGCAGGATGGAAGGACAGGCACGCACGTAGGAACCTGAGTTTACAAAACAGCAAAAAGGGAAATGAAATACTGAAAAAGTTGTAAAGAAATTGTACATAAAAGAAGAAATATGCAAAACTTTGAATAAGTTCCTATGTTAGTGCTCACTCTGACTATCCTGGATGCTCTTTTGCGCGTCTGCAACCGGTGAGCTCTGGCGCCTGGGTGGTGAGAGCGACTTACGGGTACTAGCGCGTGGTGAAGAAAAGCGCGATCTCTGGAGCGCACGATCCGAAGAAGTTTGAGCTTCAATGTCGAACTGCACGCGCTTGGGCGAAATGGGTCGACGATGGAAACTTGTCTTTGGAGTAAAAGCTTTGGACGCTCGCGGTCTGTCGAGGCACAATGCTGGATGGTGGGTTCTGCTGCAATATGCGCACAGAGGTGCTGAACAGACACTGGCGAAGTGACCTTCATCTAAACACAACCAACACAGACCTTCTTGCATGACGATGGTTCTCCACTGTGTAGGATAAGGGACCTCCAAACAGTCCTCCGGTCGATGTCCTTCGATTAGACAAAAGGCACAGCAGTAACTCTGGTAAGCGCGGTGTTGCGGTCGTGCTGGACTACGAGATGAGCGTCGCGGGTAGTATGGTGTTGGTGATCTGCTTCTAGCCGTGCGATACTCCGATGGCGAACACAAAGGACGCGAGCAGGTGGGACAAATTCGATGGTTGGCTCTACGAAGACATAACCTGCTGCGGCCTGTCACTAGAGTACCTGCGCGGCGAAGAGGAGGTTTGACGGACAGTAGAATCGGAATTGTAGATGGCATAAGCAGTAGGATCGGCGTCTTCAACTACTTGCAGCTTGTCGATGACTGTATCGAATGCTGTTAGTAGATCGTCAACCGTCTACATCTGACCTTCTTTCTTCTTCATCTCGCCAACCTTCTCGCGCGTACGTCGGGGGAACTTCGATCGAATCATATTCAGTGCACCTATCGCCGATTCTTCCTCCAAGCGCTTCATCTGGGATCAGATAGCTCTGATGGAACCAAGCGTAGCGCGCTGTGAAGCCGCAGAATCCTTTGCGGGCGCTTGCTTGTTGAGCATGTCCCAGAGACGCATTCGCAGATGTTCTGGTCGATCGTAGGTGCTGATGATGGTACGCACTGCGTCTTCATAATTCTCCTCAGTGGGCTGGAAATTCGCAATGATGTTAGCTGCGTCTCCTCTCAAGTGCGTCTTCAGATACATGAACTTAACAGGTACAGGTACACTGCTGTTATTGTGTACTGACGCGGCGAAGATGTTCCAGAACTCATGAAACTCGTCCATGTCACCGGAAAAGAACGGTACTCGAAGGAAGGCAGGCTATACGAGGTAGACGAAAATGGACCGCTCGTCGATGCAAATGAAGGGTTTGGAGCTGGATTCGGCAGAGGGGTTTGGGATTCAAAAGGGTGCATGCTCGTATGAGCAGGAGAACGGGTAGGAAGGGGATTGCCAAATCCAGATGGGGCTCGCGGACACTGGTCTCCCTGCTGAGGGGTCCCTGCGTCACTTGCGAGGGGGTGGTGGTCAACCGGCGCAACTGAAGAAGGATCCGATGGACGATCCTGGGGAAGAGAAACCTGCGCGGGTTGAACGGGGACTTGGGGCTGAACCTTATTTGAAGAAGAGGGGGACGATGCGGGATTAAGGGTAAGCTGGGTGGAAGCAATCGACGAAAGATGACGCTCATACAGCATATCGGGAGGAGTTTGATCTTGTTGTCCAAACGTTCAAGCAGAATATCCGCTTCCACCAAGAGATTCGCCATATCATTGGCTTCCCAATGCGCGTAGATCTCAATGAGGAAGGGGAATTCTCCCTGCTCATCAGGCCTCGAACGAGCAAACTCCTCAGCTTTCTCCAGCTGAGCACGTAAATAAGAAGCAGTGCAACTAATAGAAGAAATAAAATCGGAAAGCAAAGTTCTACGACTGACGACGAAATCGTAATCCTTGCCTGCATCGAAGGTAAGGCTTTCGCTTTCCAGGTTGGTCTGTTCCACTTCCGCGATCTTCTTGCGTAAATTATTGGCGGCTTTGGTGAGCTGAGCCTTGGGGGATCCAAGGAGCGACATTTCTGCAATGCAAGAGACAGGCGCAAGGTAATACACATAGATATAACGAGTACATGAAACGAATAAATACGTATACATGAGAAACCTAATCTAAAAACCCTAAGAGGGACACACTACCGACCAACACGCTAGGCTTCGTAGCAGGCGCAAAGGCAAGAGTCATATAGGGTTGTCAAGCAAGGGTAGAATCGCACGCCGTAGCAACGCGCGAATAAGCGAATACGAAGCGAATACGCAAGAGCAAAGCAAACAGCTGCATACCAGAAAAGACTACCTGAAAGGACGACATGGCAATCGCTGCGACTCCTGGTGCCCCCCGGCGATGCCCCAGGCGATTGCCCCCCGGCGATAAGTCTCCGTACAGCTAGTCCATGTCGCACTCGCAGATAGGCTTTTAAGAGTCTACTGTCATACCCGTCCTTGCGCAAGACAACGCGCTGAGCTCAGGGGCTTATAGCTGTAAGCTGCTGCCACCAACTACGCTAGGTCATCCCACGCGCTGCCTACGCTTAAGGCTGCAGTGCTAATGGGTTACCTGACACCTAGATGACGCGACTAAACGCATGCCCTATCCCTCTACTTGTCTGGACTTGAACTAGGTGCGGAGCGTGGTAGACTACGGGATCGTTACGCACGCATGGAGGGTGGGAAGCTAGAACTGCGCTACTACTGCGCGAAAACCTGCTGAGATGTTACCTACCCAACGCGACTTAGCAACGCGGCTACCCAACACTACACGCGGACGGAAAAACCGCATCCACCATGCGCTCGGCGACGATGCACCATGTGGCGGCTCGGTGGGCTCTAAGCACCTAGATCTAACCCGAGTTACCTAAGCGCTCGCCCGCTTTATACATACGATGCAACCTACCCTGCTAACTTGTCCTAGCGCGCGTAGACAAGAGAATAAGTTTAAGCTTTTATCCTTATGACATCAAATGACATTAAAAGACTACACAAAAACTCACAACTAAATTACGAAGAAAATTATTAAGATGAAAACTAAACTATTACTAAACGATAACAAGCTCAACACGGGACGAGCTGCCCCATCCCGTGCTACCGATGCGCGACTATAAATACAAATAAGAGAAATGCTCCCGAGGCTTCACCTAAACAGATCCGCCACGCGTCGCCGGATACCAGGCGCGACTCCTCTCCGCTCCCGAAATTTACAAGATATCAAATCCCAAAGGTTTCAAACGTAGCTCGTCCAAAAGAATCCCAAATCACACTTGGATCCAATATAACTTTATATCCGCTCGACCGCTAACGCAAAAGAACATCATAAGCGGGAGCTAACTGCCAGGCACGAGCACAATAGAAAACATACGAAAAGATTATCAATCGAAAACGAAAGCGAACAGACGCTGCAATGAGGCGCCGCCGCTATATATAGCCTTTTGGCTGGCAACGCGCCAAGGCGAGGAGAGGTCCAGCGGCGATTGCGGCGAACGTAAGAAAGTGCCGTTATCGCCGCCGTGTAGCGGCAGCAACCAGTGCTCCCGGCCTCCTACTTCTAGGAGCGCTCGCATCGCGGAGCCGCGACACAGGGCTCACTTCTTTGATTATGGAGTTACATCCGATAAATAAGCTTCAATAAGTCGTTTTTGTTTATAACTTTTTAGTGGACCTATCGAGCAGCCATTTTCTACGCTTGTGGGCATTTTGCATAGAATAATGAGGAGAACAAATCTAATAATGTTGAACAAAAACAACGAGAATTCTGACGTGCATTTTGACTTAGTGAAATTTTTTTCTTTATCACCCCTCGAAACAGGCAGTTTTTGAAAGAACTACAAAGAGTAAAGTAGCTTTTCCTCGTTTTTTTTGTTGTGGATTGCCTGGTCCTACAGCGAAAACCTGCAGAGATGCTGCCAAGTGAAAAATCTTGGAGCGGGTAGGGGAACGAAAGCCGCCAGTTTGGGCCGCCTCCGCGGACTGCTGGTCCTGTAACGACATGCAACAACACTGCGAAAGGACCAGATGGCCGCGAAAGGCGGCTGTCGAGACGCAGACTAAATAGATGGTCCGACAGTCCCCACGCCAATTGGGCGGAGCCCAGCAACTCCAGATGAGCTGCCTAACCAGGTGACCGGCGGTTACCCTTCCCCCCTACTTATCTTGTAAATATATAATAAAGATTCTAGTCAAAAATGTTATGTTCATATAAAGTAAGACAATCAGGGTGAAGGATTCAAGTCAGGAGAGTGCACCTCCTGGACTTTACATGGAGGTCCCGGGTTGTTTTCTTTTTATGACTCACATTTTTTTATCAATCTTTCGAGAATTTTTTTCCAACAATTTTTGAATTTAATCAGCATAGATTTTGGGCAAATCTTTTGCAAACTCCCACCACCGGCACCAGCCCTCATCTCCTACGTTTCTACGTAGTTTTTTCTTCCTTTTTTATTCATTTTTTCTCATTTTCTGCTTATTTTTTTGAGTCAGGCGATGAGTCTGAGTTCTGTATTCAAATGCTATTCTTAGCAGGAAATAATATTTTCATTTTTCTTCTTTCTAAAATTTATTTTTTTCTACTCCTTAATTCCGCAGCCGTGATCTCCGAGCCGTGAAAAGCGAACCGTGATTTTCGACACGCTCTTTCTAGATCGAGTTTCAACTCTCTAGATTGAGATTCCGTGAGCCCTGATCCCGCGTGATTTCCTAGAGCCGTGATATCCCGGAGCCGTGACTCCGCGAGCCGTGAAACATTTTTTTATGCTTTTCTTTGCCGATCGATTTCAACCCTTATTTATTTCTTTTCTTTAAGCGCATACAAAAACTCAGTGACTCTATCGCCACCGCCGGCATTGTATATATGTATAAGGTTATGCAAGTGGAAAAAGCACTGTGAGCCTAATTTTATCCGTAACTCTCACTAGTGGAAAGACCATTGTGAGGGCACTTTTGATCTTAATTCTCACTAGCGGAAAGACCACTGTGAGTATACTTTCCTTTTTTGGACTTTACTAGTGGAAAGACCACTGTGAATGTCATTTTTTTCCCGCTCACTAGTGGAAAGACCACTGTGAGCCCATTTTTTCAATTTCTCACTAGTGGAAAGACCACTGCGTGCCTTACCAAATTCAAAATTAAGTTCTCACTAGTAGAAAAACTACTGTGAGTCCATTTTGCTTAGGGAGAGTTTCATAATTATTTATTATGACCGCCTGAGGAAAATCGACGGGCTATCTGATAGCTCGCGGTTACTTCCAAAGGCTACACTCCCAGTCCCTTGATTTTAATGGCTAATCACTCAACAACGAGTGACATTTAGCCGCCAGAAGTAGGCACATGCGGCGGCAGTGCCCTTTGAACCTCGTATCCCATCGACGAATGTCTGGGCCAGAGGTATGCGGCAATTGTTTGTTGTTGATTAGCCGCTTATGGACTTCTGGGCTGGATGGCACCTCAGAATCGAGTACGGTGGAAAGCAGGTATTCGTCCAAGGACTCCTCGAATGATTTTCTCTACGGAAGACCGAGAGAAATCAGGAACAACTTTCCAACAGCCCTACTCAAGCGACTGTCCAAGAGAGGTATGCTTTATCTAGCCCTTACTTATAATTTGTTTCTTTTTGCACATACCTGTTTCGAAAAAAAGGTGGATTAACCAAGGTAAGTCATCGATGCCTGAGTCTTTGAGAAATTGTGGAAGCCAGCCACTACCTCAAATTGACATATCGGCATGACATAAGCTTGGTTTCAAAAGAATCTCACAAGTATTTACGGTGAATAGCTAAAATCGCTAATTCGTGAATTCGTTTTATTGGTCTGCCAAGAGAATTGAGGCAAACTTACCAAAAATGAGTCTTTATTTCCAAAAAAAATTGGTATTTTCAGAGGGTACCAAGAGT